TTGAAGGATGCGAGTTGCAACAGATTTTTTTCTTTAGTAGATAGTTTGTATGTCTTTCATTTGAATTGCTTGCATTGCTTTAATCAGTCAGCTTATCATTCCAAAATTTTCACGTAAATCACTGCAATATTAGATTATTTTAATTTAATTTAATTATTTTATTTTATTTTAGACAAGTGGTTTTATTTTATTTATTTATTATTTAACGCCATGTCAGCAGCAATGGCTATATTCATGGCAAAAATAATTCAATTGCATCATTCAAACATAATGTTTACAATAATTTAACAATTTTGTCTTAAAAAGTCAACATACAAAAATATAAAATATAAACTAAAATAGCAATAACAATTATATAGAGTCTTTCAACTTACTACGTGACAAAAAATTATTTCTTATTTCAGGAGAAACCTTTTTAAAAATGTCCATTAATGTATTTTCTTTATTTTATCTTATTTTCACCTTATCATAATTAAACTTGTTGGCTTAAATAAAAACTTTGTGTGACACAGTAAGTAACAATAACAGTTATTTTAATCACACTATCTCTCTCTCTCTCTCTCTCTCTCTCTCTCTCTCTCTCACACACACACATAAATATAATTTATGGTTTAGAAGCTTCTTGAGCTTTTATGTTTTTTTTCAGTCCCTGTTTTTAGTCTGTCCATGTCTGGACTCCGTAATCAGATGCAGCTCATACAGAGCCTCTCACACACTCAGCACACAGATGTGTGTGTGAATGTCTGTCCAGTCCAACAGCTGCACTCTCACACACACACACACACACACACACACACACACTGCACATATGTGGGAATGTATTATTCCTTTCTTTGAGTCCATGATTGTGTGCTGTTCATGATGTATTTTTACCCGCAGCTGCTTTTTTGACAGTTTGCTGTCAGGACAGACATGGAGAGTCTGACGTAAGTGTGTGTGTGTGTGCATAAGATATAGGGATCATGAAAAATACATATATTTTCAGTGCATTGGCAATTCAATGTCACATACAGTAAAAATAAAATATATATACACACTGCCATTCATAAGTTTTTGATGTTTTTCAAACAAGTCTCTTATGCTCACCAGGGCTGCATTTATTTGATCAAAAATACAGTAAAACAGTAATAATGTGATGTATTTTTGCACAATTATAGACAATATTTCATTACTACCGACTTAACTAGCATGATGACAAAAAAATAAATAGAAGAGAAGTTCATACCATCACTGTTGCAGCGAATAACTGTGTCTGGTGAGGGTGTGTTCTGTGATCGTGAGCCAAATGAGTCGAGACTGTCGAACGAATCTTCACGGCCGTGCCTCGGAGGAGACAGCGAATCAGAGCGCTCCGATTCCCAGCTGTCGATGTAACCGCTGTCTCTTATACTGCGCTTAGGGGAGTCTAACTCTTCATTTACACACTCCTGCACACAAACACCAAATATAAAAAAATAAAGAATTCAAAACATAAAAGCTTATGAATTATTTCATTTATCAGGCTGTTTCATATGTTCAGTGTTCTTGGCAAGAATTGATTTACCTTTCGCATCATGGAAAGAAGCCCCTCAAACTCTTTCAGGTCGAGTGTGGGGCCGTTATACGTTGCACAGCTGTTAGCAGCTTTACCAAGCCAGTATATGGTTATGAGCACCTAATCGTTCAAAAAACACAGCAGAGAATACAAATGTAAGTCAAACAATAATTGACACGTAAAGTTTAAAAAACAGTTCAGTGTACTTACATTCTTCAGCTTTCTACTGCAGTCAGAGCCCCTACAAAGAAAAAGAAAGAGAGAGAAAACAGCTGTTTTCCATCTAATCAACAGAGATATACTATCATTCAAAAGTTTGGGGTCGGTAAGATTTGTCTCTTATGCTCACCCAGGCTGCATTTATTTGTTAAAAAATCCAGCAAAAACAGAAATATTGTGAAATATTATTACAATTTAAAATAACTCTTTTCTATTTTAACATATTTTAAAATGAAATTTATTCCTGTGATGCAAAGCTGAATTTTCAGCTTCACTACTCCAGTCTTCAGTGTCACACGATCCTTCAGAAATCATTCTAATATGCTGATTTGGTGCTCAAGAAACATTTCTGATTATTGTCAATGTAGAAAACAGTTGTGCTGCTTAGTATTTTTGTGGAAACTGTAATATTTTTTCAGGGTTCTTTGATAAATAGAAAGTTTAAAAGCACAGCATTTATCTGAAAAACTCACTTTTGCTCAGTTAATAAACCCTTTCTGAATGTTACATCTTAAAGTGTAAAAAACTTGCATCAACTTCAATATGGATGAACCAAAATTCTTCGAAAAACTGCTTATATTCTGATTAAATAATTCAAACAACCAATTAAAATCAAAACGCTTTAGCTAAAACTTCTTTTTTTTCAGATTGGTTATCTAGTGTAAATCTACGCTTTCAGAAGAAGAAGATGAGCTGCTGTGAAGAACTGAAATGCAAGATCTTCTAGAGCCACCAAAATAACTTCTGATTCATCCCATTCATTTTTCTGCACATAATCAGTCTCCTCCTCCTCCTCCTTCTTCTGTCTCTGTTCACGCATACACAAACACACACATACGTTAAGTTCGCTCGTATCGACGTGTCCTGCAGGTCTCCAGGATCGAACAGCTGTGATCCCTTCAATCCCAGCTCTTCGCATCCTCTCAGAAACATGGTCAGATTATCCTGATGAGAGGAAAGACACATATTATGCACCTGCTGTATGTGACAATTACAGGCAATGTGTGATGAGCTGCATGTTATCAAAACAAGCATCTAAAGATGTAAAAAAAAGTGTTTGAGGCAGTTTTCCTTTACTTTTGGAAAATCTAGTATGAAACTTACAATAAAGTACCATGGTATAACCAGGATTTTTGTATCTAATTAAAGTTCTCAAAACACTGCTTTTGAGCTATAACTTTAAAGCACTGATAAGCTTCACTTAATTCTCTCATTAGGGGCTGTATTTATCTGATATCTTGATGGCACAAACATAAAATAGCTACCACACACAGATACACACACAAATTGGGACAGTACTGGATTTGTTCTGAGACAGCAGTGCTGAGACTGGCCTGACACAAACAGGCACAGAACAACACAAACACGTGCAAACAAACACACACTAACCACACTCACCAGTCCTGCAATGGGTGCTGGAAGTCTGTTGATCTTTTTCACAAGGCCTGGTTTGATTGAACTCAGCAACCTAATAAGTCACATGATGAGAGAAAGAGAGAGAAATTGCATAATATGTTGGAACCATAATATGTTGGTTGACATAACATCCTCTCATTTTTGTGATTTATTTTCGGAGGTTTTTTTCCTTTTTTTTCAATCATTACAGTTTGGACCACAAAATGAAAAAATTATTTGTTAAAAAAAAAAAATCACTACTTTTCACAAATTTGGGGTCAGCAAGATATTTTTTTAAGAAATTAATACTTACATTAATTGCATTAAATTCAACAAAAAATAATTCAAAGAATCCTGAAAAAATGTATCATGGTTTTCAACATAGATAATAATCATAAATGTTTCTTGAGCAGCAAATCAGCATATTAGAATGATTTCTGAAGGATCATGTGACACTGAAGACTGGAGTAATGATGCAGGAATTTCAGCTTTGCATCACAGGAATAAATTGTAATAAATAAAAATTGTACAGGAATAAATTGTAAAAATAAATGCATCCTTGGTGAGCATAGAAGACTTAAGAAGAAACTTTTTTAAACCCCAAACTTTTGAACGGTAGTGTAGTGATCAGAATTAGGCTTTTATTTGTCCTCTTTAACATAAAAATGTCCTAGATGTAAATGATGCTTATACAAATTTGTATTCATTCTTCCATACTGGTGAATTAATTGCACCTGCATTTAATCAACATTTAATCCATTAATGTTTTTAAGCACTTTGCCACAGAAAACCTAACTTCCACTAAACATTTTTCATTTACATTTACAGTATGTGTGTGTGTGTGTATATGTGTGTGTGTGTGTGTGTGTGTGTAAAACTCACTCGCAGAGCAGAATGCCGTTCTCCAGGCCGCTTCTGAAATCCTTATCACCGAAACTTCTTCCTGTTGCTGCCTGTCAAGCAAACAGAAAAGCAAAAACATCATCAGTAAGAAAAAGAACTGAAAATGTTTTAATGAAGAGGTAAGAGAGTGCTAATGTGACTGAAGCAGTTTGAATGTAGTCAAATTATTTTACTGACCAATGTCCCCTTCTAAAGCTATAGTTTTACAGTATGATTTGTGTCTAAATGCTAACCAAACAGATGCTTTCTATTTGTTTAGGGAGGCTTCAAAGCTCAACTCTTCATGTTTTAATCTGTTATGATATTTCCTTTTTATATTATGTATGTGTTCACACATCAAATGCTCTTTATAAGTTTAAAAACTAAATAAGACAAAAAGGGTTTCACAAAGGAGCTCTGAAACAGCTGCTCTTCTTTCATACAAAACTCTGGTAGTTATTAGGTTAATACTTAACACATTCAAAAGGCACAATGTGTGTGTGTGGGTCCAAGTATATAAATATGTATGTATGTATGTATGTAAGTATAACTATGTATATATGTGTGTGTTTTTCTGCGAGTGTGAGTGATTATATATACTGTGTGTAGTGTGTGTGCATTTAATGTGTACAAGTAAAGTACTAAACTAGTATTACATAACCTGTCCTTACTTAACACGTTTAAACATACCAAGCGTTTATGTGTAAAAGAGAGAGAAAAAGAAAAAGAAAAAAGGCTCTCTATTGCCAAGAGGCCAAGTACATGACCAAGTAGTTGAGATTAATAAAGATTAGTTTCAATAATGCAAAGCACTTTGGAATGAAGACAAAACCTGCAAGCACACACACAATCACCCATAAACCTGTTACCCCCTAAACCTTTACACAGAGTTTCTCTCAGAGCAGGAAACAGCTGACCTGTACATCAGTACGAGGGCACTCATTGTCCATTGTCCTTCAACTGCTGCTAAGAAAGGAAGTCACACAACGCTATTAAAGGAATAGTTCAACCAAAATTGATAATTTGCTGAAAATGTACTCACCCTCAGGCCATCCAAGACCAGCTGTTTGGACTCTCATTCTGACGGCACCCATTCACTGCAGAGGATCCATTGGTGAGCAAGTGACGTAATGCTAAATTTCTCCAAATCTTTTCCTCTGGAAAAATAAACTCATCTAGATCTTGGATGGCTTAATGGTTAGTACATTTTCAGCAAATGTTCATTTTTCAAAAAAAAACAGGCTCAGTCAGGGGCCTTGTGCTCCTCTGGCCAGACAAAACCCTAGGGACCGGACATGTACTGTACACCACTACTTAACTCATTCTGCAAGTCGGAGCCTTACACACTGAAATAATTTGGTTATTCGTCATTCATTCTCCACACAACCCGGTCATCCTTGGCTTACCCTGGCTACAGGACCATAATCCACAAATCTCTTGGCGTGAGGAACAGATCATGCAATGGGATCCCAACTGCTTGTCTAAATGCTTGAAGTCCATCACCCCCATACCTGTAAGCACTGCTATTGTTATCAACAAAACCAACTCAGCCCCACATATACCTCCAGAGTATGGCGATCTGCTTGAAGTAAAACCAAAACTTCAAAACTACCCCCACAAGGACCCAGTGACTGTGCCATAGAACTGCTACCTGGCACCATGCTGCCTAGAGGAAGAATCTTTCCCTTGTCAGAACCTGAGGCTGAAGCATTGAAAACACACATTGAAGAAGAGCTAGCCAAGGGTTTCATTCATCAATCCACTTCACCAGGAGCAGCAGGATTCTTCTTCATGGGTAAGAAGGATGGTGGCCTTCGTCCTTGAATCGATTATCGAGGCTTAAATGAAATAACGGTCAAATTCCGATATCCATTGCCCCTGGTTCCAGCAGCATTGGAGCAGCTCAGAACTGCCAAAGTTTTCACCAAGCTAGATCTGCACTCCGTCTACAACCTTATCCGCATCCGAGAAGGGGATGAATAGAAAACTGCTTTTTCCACCAGCAGTGGGCACTACGAGTACATTGTTATGCCGTTCAGGCTGTCCAATAGTCCGTCCGTGCATGTTCCAGTCCTTCATAAACAACATATTCAGAGACACGTTGAACCAGTGCCTAATCATATACATTGATGACATCTTGATCTACTCTAACACTTTAGAGGAGCACGACAAGCACGTCCAGGCGGTTTTAAAGTGTCTCATCGAACACCAACTGTATGCTAAAGCAGAAAAATGTGAATTCCATCAAACTTCAATCTCCATTCTCGGTTACATCATCAGTGCTGAAGGGGTGTCTATAGGCGAGAGCAAAGTATGAGCGGCTCTCAAGTGGTCTCAACCTACCACAGTGAAGGAACTACAACGTTTCTTGGGATTTGCTAACTTTTATAGAAGACTTAGCAGGAACTTTAGCGCTGTCGCCGCTCCACTCATCTCAATGGTAAAGGGAGGGAATACTAACCTTCGCTGGTCCACTGATGCTGTTCAAGCTTTCAATGAATTGAAGAACTGCTTCACCTCGACACCCATTCTGCATCATCCTGACCCTAACATACCTTTTGTGGTAGAAGTAGATGCATCTAACACCGGCATTGGCGCCATCCTCTCCCAACGTCAAGGTAATCCTCCTAAGCTTTTTCCATGTGCCTACTTCTCTCGCAAACTCTCATCCGCTGAACAGAACTATGATGTGGGCAATCGAGAGCTCCTTGCCATGAAACCGGCGTTTGAAGAATGGCGTCACTGGCTGGAGGGGGCAAGGCATCCATTTCTGGTATTAATAGATGTAGCAAATTAGCTCAAAAGGGAAATGTATATAAATAATTACAATTAATTATAATTAATTACAATTATTTAGGCTATATCAGCTGCCAGTAGTAACTAGCAGAATTAATATTACCATCAACTAATCAGTTCGTCCAGCGAACATTCAGAGTAATTTCATATCAACTCTAAGAAATTATATTTTCGTGGCCATAGAAAATAACTTTCTTACAATACTAGTGTATTAGAGCATGTAACAAGATCAGGAATCGTTAAATGGACATTATCCACAAGCAGTGACAGAATCAGAAAAACTTGTGTAATTTGTGCACAAAAGTTTTATTAACTAAACACTAACACTAGTCTAAACAAACAAACATACATACAATCACACATACATGGGGGGAAGGGCAAATTTCAGTTAACCACCTGACTGAAACCATCAACGCTATTTTACAATGGGGTCTTCAGCAGCTTATACTAAACTTCTGTTTTGTTTTGTTCAAGATGTTATTCTGGCGAGTTTTCTCCCAGGTGGAAAGTGAAGACATGACTGTAGTTGAGGCCTGCCAGGCTTGGCTGCGCCGGCTCCGGGACTTGGTGAGTCCCACACAAGCAGCAACCAGAAGTTGAAGCAGAAGAGCAGCAGAAGATGAGAGAGGGAGGTCACCTTTTAACTTTTGTGGAGGTCACACCTCCAGGGGGTCATTGAGCCAATGGTAACAAACTTTCGGAGGGAACGTTTACGACTCTTTGTCTTCGAGCATGGCAGTTTACATATGTAACTGGATTGTGTACTGGTGCAAAACTATTAAAGATTCTTATGATACACTGATATGTTGCATAGGTATTAACATATAATATGCTGTTTTTTTGAGTTTGCAGATTCTGACTTCATTTGAATGGTAACAACTCTACAGTTTCTTATTATTATAACTGAATGAATTGAAACAATGTAAAAATTGTATGTGAAAGATGACGCATTTTATAAAGTTAGGGTAAAAAAATGACCATTTATAAGTGGGAAATTACATCTGTTTTGTTACATACAGCAACTCATTTTCAGTTCATTGTTATTTCTACCTCTTTCCAGTCACAGAGCACTTTATTTTGAGAGTTGTTTAAGTGAAAGAACATCTGTAACTTAGTCTTTGCATTGAAAAAAAGTAGATTTTTTTTTTGTATTTGCTGTTAATCATAGTTCTTAGAAAGAAAATCGGAATCTGCAAAAATCGGAATCAGCAGGTCACACTTACAAAAAAAATTGGAAATCGGATTCGGTCAAGAAAAATTGCAAAGGTGCTACTCTAATTATTGTTTTGACTATATTTTTGATCAAATAAATGCATAAGAGATTTCTTTCAAAAACATTACAACTTTTAAACAGCAGTGTTATACCAAACTTTATGCTGAATAAAAAAGTGAATTATACAGGAAAAAAAGATATTCTCTAAAAACTCAAACAACACTACAAAATAGTGTTGGTATTGCAAATATAGTGCACTTTATAGGGAATGAGACGTGATTTAGGACACAGCTACACATAGTGATTTTCACACATGCAGACACATTCACTCTCTCAGAATCACACACAGTTCTTTGAGAAATCCCTTGCAGCTGTCTTTAACTGTCAGAAAGATTCACTCTCCCTCCGCTTTATGTATTTACGCTCTCTTCATTAGACGAGTACACACACACACACACATAAATTAGAGGCAAGCTGTTTTTCAAACAAATATTCATCTGCCTGCTCCAACATACTGAATATAACTGTGGACCAGAGTCAGAAATTAATCCCTGAATGTGAAGAAATCACTTCAACAACTCCATAACTCAGTTATATGAAACAGCTTTTACATTAACATCTAACATAACTGTTGTACAAAGCTATTATATAAGCTGTAGTTATAATTAATTGAAAAGGTCATTTTGAAACTGATGCCATTTCCAGAGCGATGAGGTGATTTTTTTAAAGGTACATTTTTGTAAGGTTTCAAACATCCTAACAGACAAATAATGTGTTTTATTGTTAATAAATTGCACTGTGACCTCTCAAGCATCCCAAAATGGAAAATATAGCTAATGGTAACAGTGTTGACATGACTTGGGGACAATTTTTACGTTTTTTATAATACACGGTCAACTAAAATCTAAAGATAAATGTCTTATAAACTGAAATGTGCCTTGAGAAGCAAATATTGTCCTCAATAAAACATTAATTCCTGAAACTACTCTTAATACTGTGAAGGCTATATGACAGTCCTGCATTCACATACTGGCCTAATTCATTCATATAGAGAAATAGACA